CTCTCACCACTGGCATCCACTAATATGGCAAAATCTTAACTCATTATTCCTCTTCCCCCATCCCAGAATTTCTCCACTAAAAACTATGTTTACTGCAAATTAGACACAATATGTAGAATGTGTTGGGTAAAATGAAATCTTAACTTTAATATGGTGCACTGCAATATAATGGCAGGTAAGATGCAATATAAAAATAGTTTCAAAGGTAAAAATTACATATGTAAAATAATGCTCCATTCTGTTACAATACATTAGAATAGTGGGTTTTCAACCTTTTTTAATTTGCTGACCCCTACATTTCAAATAGAGTCCTTTGGAAACCTTAGACATAGTCTGCAGATGCCCAGGGCCCACAGACCACAGTCTGAAAACCACTGCATTAGAATATTATACTCCAAGTTTTGTTTTTGGGGTTTTTTTTTTGTTTGTTTTTTAAAGAGCTAGCTTTCTGGTCAGTTTGTCTTTCTGAGTCTCTTAACTACTGTATGTTGTTTCAAAACAATGGTGATGCTTAAGTCTTCAATACCTTTTTTAAAAAACAGATATTATGAACAAATTTCTCTAACCAATATTACAAAACCTAAATTGTAGGTCTCACCTAAGAGAACAGAATTTCTTGAACTGGCTTAGTTTGTTTGAAGTGACTGTATGCATGGTCCCTACAGTGTTGTTGTAGTGTTGCGTCTACTGTGGCAGCAGCTGCTTACTACTATCATCACAGTAAGCTTGAAAACGTGTGGTTTGCTGACTGTAAGAGCAGCAGCATTATGACTATCAGGCCAACCTGTTGTGATCCCGGTCTCCATGCCCCTTCCCACCTTCAGATCATAGACAGTCTGAATTATCAACCAGTGCTGCAATGGAGGGACCTAGAGCAGCACAACTATCTCAAGTGTTGTGGGCAAGTTAAATTTTGTTCTACTTCTATTTTTTAACCAGAAGTGTCCTACAGAGAATTCAAGGAAGGATTTTCTTGATAAAGAATAAAGACAAGGAAAAAGGAGTATTGAGAGGACAAGACCAGAATAGGGTTAAGAAGGAAAAGGACACCTAGGCCTGGTCTACACTACACAGTTAGGTTGATATAAAACAGCTTACATCGACCTAAATATGTCAGTGTACACACCACAGCCTTGCCCCACCAAAGTAAATGCCCTACTACACCGACATAATAACGCCACTTCCACAAGAGGTATAGGGCTTATGATGGTGTAGTTAGGATGACGCAGTGTCTGTGTAGATGCTGGGTTACTTACATTGGCTCTTTGCTGTCTTCTCAATTTCAGGGCTCCATGAAGCCTTGAAACCGACAAGAAAGCCGGGCAGCTAGACCCCAGCTGCCCCTAGCTCCCTGCTCCCGTAGGGGAATGGGGAGGTGAGAAGCCCGGGAGGCAGCTGGGTTCCCTGCGGGGAGCTGTGTGGGGCTGAGAGCCCGAGCTTTCAGCCCCCCAACACTGCTCCTCTTCAGTCAGTGGAGGTGCTCCTGGTGAGGCAGCACACCACTGACAGAAGGAGGGTAGTGTGGACCTAACAGATGCAGTTAAAATCAGTGGGAACTGTATTTTGAACAAATAAAGCACTTAAGAAGTTTCCACCTGAAAAATCAGATCCTAGGTTTCTCAAATTAGGCACCCAAAATTAGTGGATGCTTGTGACCTTGATCTCTCTACACCTCAGCTCCCCATCTGTGAAATGGGGATATACTCCCTCACCTCACAGGGGTGTTGCGAAAATAAACAAACATTGGTTATGATTTCAGATACTATACGGATGAGCGAGGCAGAAATGCCCATTAGCAAATTAATAATTCTGTATTCAGAGGAGAGTTTTAGTGTGTGTAGTAAATAAGCTACTGAATAGCAGATCATTCAATTAGCACTGCCCATTCTGTGCTCCTGCATTTGAACCAGGTGGCTTCCTTCTCCACATTGCCTGGGACTCAGCAGGAGAAGCAATGAGGGCATAGAAACAACTCTGCCAGCTCTCAGTTCCTGTGTCTGGGGCCACAGGAGCAGGGAGTTGCAACTACCAGGAAAGTCCTACTCAGTCCCCGTGCCCTGAGCTAGAGCATGCTCAGTACAGACAAAATCTTCAGAGAATTTAGCTGGTAAATTCTCAAGTCCATACTGAACATATGCACAGCGAAATTTTTAAAGGCTTATAACTTGGCGTTTCTTCCCCCTCACAGGAACAGCAAAAAAGAGACATCTCTCTGACGTAAAGGAAACCCTCCTGCCAAATTTCAACTCCGGCTCCAAGCCTGGCCGCACAAGTGCTTCTTAGCAAAAGGACGTAAGAATTTTCTGAACATTGGAAAAACAGTGTATTTTTCCCCCAACTTTGTTCTGACAAATGGCTGAACCATTTTTGCTGAAAAACTTTCCAAAAAAAATTCAAACTAAGTTAACAACTGGCTTCAAAAATTTCAGTTCCACCAGTTCAAGTTTGGCAAAATTATAAGAAACTGAAACAGGGTCTTATACGGGAAAATGTTGGGCAATCTTAACCATAGATGGTGCTACCCTCTCCTCCTGTAAAAGTACACATGACAGTGTTACATTCCTATGTTTGTCAATCTCACATTAACTACCTAGATATACTGCTCAAAGGAACAGGCTCACCATAGTAATAATTTATTGTTATAATTGTTGTAATTTACTGTTAGAGATACAAAAGCAACAAAGTTCATTAGTAGAGAGGTCTAATACCATGAACATACTTGCCATCTGTCAGCTATTTCTATACCGTCCATCGCTATCTGAATTTCAGAAAAGTACCATGAAAAAACATTACATAGTTAGAAGTTACTTCATGCAAACAAACATTAAGCTTATGCCACAAACCCATAATACAACCAAATGTAGTGTACTAATTTAAAAGGGCATGACAACCTTTTTTAAAAAGCCTCCACAGCTAAGAAGATTTTGCTATGCTGAGTGCTGCTGCAACTACAGACCAAGTCATTTACAAAGCTAGTTTTCTGCAAGTCGCAAGCACACAGCTAATAAAGCTCAAGTATAGCAAATGCATCACTGACAGTAACTCAGCTTAATATGGAACCCAGACACTTGCAATTCTCACTTGTTTGAGGAGAAGGAGGAAGAGGAGTGAGAAAGGGGACTTAATCTGAAATACTTTAAAAAAAAAAAAAGTAATGCCATCTGAGGATGAAGGGCTATACTATGAGTGTATCAGTTGAGAAATTTAAGATTCCCATCAAAATAATCTCATTTAAAAATTGTCCCATCTTGACTACCCTACAAAGCTACTAGTCAAAATAGCTTCTTCATGCTAATCTCTCTTCCAGCAGAACCTTTAGCAGAAAGTTTTGAATATCCTGTTTTGACTCTGATACAAAAACACTTTACCTGCTGGTGTACTCAGGCTCCCTGTTTTGCCTACACACTTTTGGATCTCCCTGATGTCAGCCAGAAAGTAATTGAGTAAGCTTCTGTTAATTAGTGTAAAAAAAAAAAAAAAAAAAAAAACACACCACACAATTTAAGAGATTCCAGATACACCTCTACCCCAATATAACGCTGTCCTCGGGAGCCAAAAACCTTACCGCGTTATATGTGCAACCGCGTTATATTGAACTTGCTTTGATCCACCGGAGCACGCAGCCCCGCCTCCCCCCGAGCACTGCTTTACTGCGTTATATCCGAATTCGTATTATATCGTGTGACGTTATATCGAGGTAGAGGTGTACGAAAAACTGGGAATTGAGGCACCATCAAAAGAGATTAGAAGTTTTGTGCACCTACACATGGACCAGCAAATTGGTGGTTTTGGGGGGATAGTGTAAAGAGGAAAAAGATATGAAAAGCAGCAGGTCACTTCAAAGCAGCAGGTCATTTCAAAGTATCTCTGAACAAATTAAACCAGTTTCCTTTTACACAGTGCCGAGCTACTTGCACTGAATCTCCCCAACCACCAGCCTCAGCCATCGCCGTTACAGTTTAGTATTTGCTTCTGGTATTACTCACAGCATGCTAGGTGCTTTCCCAAAGGGCATTCACGCATCTCTGCCACCCACCAAACCCACTGCATACCTAACCAGCATCCACGGAGGAGACCCTTCCTGGTAACCCCCATCACCCCCCTGCTTCCCTAACCAACATCCACAGGGGATACCATCCCTGAGATCTCCATCTCCTCCCTGCAGCTCTACCCAGCGTGGAGGTGGGCACCCTCCCTGGTATCCCCATCTCCTGCCTCTCTAACCAGCACCCTATCCTCCTCCTCTCCCTGTATCCGCGGTGGGGGGCGGGGGGGAAAGCAGGGCACCTTTCCCAGCATCCCCAGCCCCCTCCGCCGCCCGGAGGCAGGACGGGCTGCCCGGCCCTGTCCCTGCCAGTTCCCACCAGCCGGGACTCGGCCCTGTTGCCGGGGCTGGGCCGTCGTCTCCTTCCCTCGCCCGCACTCACTCGCCAGCCGCGGTCCATCCAGCCCCCCTCCGCCGCCTCCTCCGCCGCCGCCGGCGCCGTGGCTGCCCCCCAGCTCAGCCTTCTTAGGCCCCGCCGCCGCCGCCGCTCCGGGGGCTGCCCCGTGCGGGTAGCCGGGCCCGGCGGCGGGGGCGCTGGGGCCGGGCAGGCCTAGCGGGAGCCCCCCGAGGGCGGGCGGGGGCCCGGGGCAGGCGGGGGCGGCGCCGGGCTCCTCGTGCAGGAACTGGCACTCCTCCCCGTAGAAGCAGGTCTTGTCCTTGGCGTAGTAGCGGCAGAACTTCAGCTTCAGCCCCGCGCCGGGGGCCGGGCCCGGGACCCCCGCCGCCCCGACCCCCGCCGGGGCCCCCGCCACCGGGGACGGGCAGGGGAGGCCGCCGCTGTTCATGGCAACGCCGCCAGCCTCAGCACCATGGGGAGGGGCCGCGGGAGCCGCCGCCGCCGCCCGGGGCTCCGACTCCAGAAGGGGGGAGCTGGGGGCGCGATTGTGCTTCTCTTAAAGGGGCCGCGCGGCTCAGCCCGCCGGAGGGGAGACGCGGAGGCGGCTCGTGAATGGGCCCGGCCCGGGGCTTGTTTATTCCATTTTCCTCTTCCTGAGCGGACGCCCCGCCACGCATGCGCGGGAGAAGGGCGTTCTGGGTAATCCGGGACTAGTGAGGGGCTGGGGGACCCGGGCAGAGGGTCCCGCGCGCGCAGGGCGTGGGGAAGGGGCCCGCGCCGCTCGCCGGACCCATCTCCCCGCGTGTGGCAGCCGCAGCCCCGGGACACGGGCCCTCCCCCGGCCGTCTCGTGGCTGCTGGAAACACCGCCCAAGAGGCCGCAGCCCGAGCTGCGAGGGGAACCATGTGAAAGCCTCCAAGGCCCTCGCAAGCGAGGAGCTGCGCCTGGCTTGGCTCAGAGGCTGGCGGTTGTGCAGGGCTGTGTTCACGCCTCCTCCATGGGGGCTGCAAAGCCCCCCCCCCCCCCACCCCCGCAGGAGAGAAGGACTAGCCATTGATCAGCCCCAGGGTGCTCGCGCAGGGCAAACAAACAAACCAGGGGGGCGCTTGCCATGTCAGGGAGGGGTGCCGCAGCCCTCACTCCTGTGGGTGAGTCTCTGGCCTGTGTTGCTATCTGGGAGGTCAGACTAGATTATCATGCCCCACCACCTTTCCGCAAAGGCTTACTAGTAGCTAGCTAAGTAATGGTTTAAGACACAGCTTCGGTCTGATGGTTTGTTGACATAACATGTGAAATTGTTGAAGTAAATGGGAAATACCCGGCTGACGCCACTGGAATTTTACAATTTACTTCAATGGGGCCAGGATTTCACCCATCACCGTCAAACATGGCACTGATTCAAAATGCATTTAGGGGAAAAAACTCTCTGTGATATCTCTACTGTGTTCTGTAACTAAACCCTCTTTTAAACTATGCAGACTCAAAGAAAGTGTACCATGTTACCAATTTTCTTCGCTTGTATTCCACCAGACAAGACAGGAGAGAGGCTGACTTGGCCACACTTCCGGCTTTAAAATTATGAATTTGTGAGTACTCCCATTGACCTCAAATGAGGCGGGTGAGGTGAGGGATGTAGGATTGGACCCCTCAAATGGCACAGATGGTAAAAGCATTAAATTTAGAATTATTACCAAGTGACAGAAAATGAGGCATAGTATGATGATAGCAGAGTAATTCAACAAGAAAATCCAGGGTTTTCAATTTTCCATGATACGCAGGTATGGTTAAATATTTGGTATTTTTATACAATATATGGTGTGAAGAAAAATATATCCTGATGATAACTTTAAATGTATATGTAAATTACATTATTTGTGTGCAGTGTAGCCATGTTGGTCCCAGGATATTAGACCAGGAGGGTGAGGTAATATCTTTTATTGGACCAACTTCTGTTGATGAGAGAGAAGCTTTTGAGCCACACATAGCTCTGCATCTTGCCTCTCTCACCAACACGTTGGTCCAATAAAAGATACTACCTCACCCACTTTGTCTTTCATTGTTATTTATATCCATCTTGTACTATTGTCTGTTCTAACTCAGTAGGCTACCACATATTGCGTCATGATATCAGTTTTTAATCAGAACTCCCCATTTTAACCAGCGGCCCTTTGTTGGTCTTCTAGATACTGTCCTCAAATTCTAATATATTATTTTTAAAGGAACTAATACAATATGTATATAACAATGAGAATATCTCATGTTCTTTCACTGATGATGTAACCCCCCTCCCATTCTTCCCCATTTCCTTACAGCCAACCCTTGCTGTGTTTTCTCTTATTTAAATTAAAATCTTCTGCCAGGGACCTGTCATTTCTTAATTGCCTGAAAACACCATGTACAGCTATGACATTGTGTAAATACTAAATAATATTGTGAGGCAGTTTCTGCAATGTGTGTTCTCCTTTGTAGACGAAAGGTGGGGGTTTGGACACACCCTCATTTTGAGTTTTATGACAGGATTCAGAAAAGATTTCCAAAAGCATAACCGTAAATTCCCTGCTGAAAAACAAACAAATTCCTTCTTCACAGATGTTTGAAAACTGACTTAAAATTAATGCAAAATAAGGGATTCTCCCTTTGGATGAGTGAGACTCGGCAAACCTGCCATTTTAAAGGTGTGTTTAAAGATTCTAGGGATGGAGAATTTTGTTATGTGGGTTTTCAATGAGTCATTTGCAATCTCAAGATTTTTTTAAAATCTTCCTCATTCAGACTGTCTCCACCGTTTGTGACACAATCCTTGCAATTATATATATATATATATATATATAGCAGAAGAATCCCCATATTTTTAAGCGCCATGAGTATTATTTTGGTAAGAAAAACATTTACTATGGAATTAAGATTCCTTTTTGTCTTGCTTAGACTCATTATTATAAAAAATAGAAAATCAGGGGCTGCCATCAAGATGCTTTGACAGTTCGTATGAAAAGAGAATTTCAAAAATGAGTGGGATTTTAAATGTCACATTGAAACAAATCAAAATACTCCCTCATCATATAAAGACTTCAAAAACTTTTTTAAAAGCTGTTTTAAAATGAAACCTCAGACCACAGTTCTAGCAATTAGCATTATTGATATGACTTCTTCAGGTGGTTGCAAACCAAGGGAGAGCAAATGAATTGCTTGGTTGAAGAGGTTGGTCAGAAAGATGGGCAAGATCCTACCCAAGGAGTCAGGGTTCTATTATTTGCTTATTATATGGGGCTCTAGTCATAGTCCCTGCAAATGTCCCTTTGTGGAATGCAACCACAAACACACCTGCTCTGTGAGATTTGCAGCTCACTGGTGTCCACTAGAGTCCTCATTCAAACAATGACATCTCGGTCAGCTCCCACTGCAACCAGTCCCTGGTCTGAGAACACCAGGTAGTGCCAGAGTACCACACACTCGCTGGTACGGTAATCTACATAGTGTACATCCATGGGGATGTTAGACCATGTCCAAATGGAAGGATAAAGTTGTCTGTTGGGGAGCAGTACAAGTTGGCTAACCCAGTTGTATTGGAGTGGGATGTCATTCATTTTAACCAGCTTCTAGGGCAGGGGCGGGCAAACTTTTTGGCCTGAGGGCCACGTCGGGTTTCTGAAATTGTATGGAGGGCCAGTTAGGGGAGGCTGTACCTCTGCAAACAGCCAGGCATGGCCCGGCCCCTGCCTCCTATCTGACCCCCACACTTCTCACCCCCTGATGGCATCCCCGGGACTCCTGCCCCGTCCAGCCACCCCCGTTCCCTGACGGCCCCCCAGGGACCTCTACCCCATCCACCACCCCCTGCTCTCGGTCCCCTCACTGCCCCCAGACCCCACGCCCCTAACCACCCCCTGAACTCCCCTGCCCTCTATCCAACCCCCTCCCTGCCCCTTTACCACACTGCCTGAAGCACCAGTGTCTGGCAGCGTGGCTGCACCAGGACAGGCAGCCGTGCCACACTGCTCTGGGCAGCACAGAGCACCGGGTCAGGCCAGGCTCTGCAGCCCCGCCGCCCAGAGCATTGCGCCGCATGGCTGCGGGGGAGGGAGAACAGCAGGGGAGAGGCCAGGGGTTAACCTCCCAGGCCAGGAGCTCGGGCTGGGCAGGACGGTCCCGCGGGCTGTAGTTTGCCCACCTCTGTTCTAGGGAGTTTTCAGAGATTCCCATCTCAGAAGCTGTGGGATTTCCGTATCTATTTGGGGAAACCAGCCTACCACTGTGAGTCAGATCAGGACAGATGAGGCTCCCCTCAACTGAGGGAGATTCTCCTGTTGTTCAGGAGTATATAGAAGACGATTATGAACAGCATTACGCCATGGGGTACTTTCAGCAAGACATCAAATTTCTAACAGAGCTGTAACTTTATGATTGAACCACAGAGAATGAGTAATGGAAATAACATCCTGAGTCAGGCATATGACCTCGTGGGTTCTGACAGATTTCACTCACGCTGGAATCACTAGAGAAAATAGCTTTCTCCAGGCCCTAAGCGTTTTTGCACCATGGCTTTTTGAGTACATGGAGCTCCTGTGACAAGGTTTGAGTTTGCAGAAGGATGTGCAAACATCTTTTACCTTAAATGACTATCCACTGCATGACCGTAGATAGGTGTCTCTACCTTGTTAGCAGGTATTGGAACCTGACTGGGAGTTGCAGTTTAATTGCTACCGACTCTATGGGGCAGTTGTGATTAATTAGATTCTATCCTGAATATAATAAGAAAGATGTGATTAGCTCGGGTTTATGACAGACAGGACCTAAGGGAAAGAACCCAAGGAGAAAGCTTAGACAGACCTACCAACTTAAGGAGAAGGCACAGGTTGGGGATTGTGTTGTGTTATTTTGGGTTTACAATTTTGTTGTTAAAGCCAGGCTCCAGGAGGAGTGTCATTTTGACTCTAAAAGAAAAGGAGTACTTGTGGCACCTTAGAGACTAACCAATTTATTTGAGCGTGAGCTTTCGTGTATACATCTGATGAAGTGAGCTGTAGCTCACGAAAGCTCATGCTCAAATAAATTGGTTAGTCTCTAAGGTGCCACAAGTACTCCTTTTCTTTTTGCGAATACAGACTAACACGGCTGTTCCTCTGAAACCTGTCATTTTGACTCTACAATGACAGTGTAGCTTTTATTCAGTGCTGGGAAAGGACTCCAACCTCTTAAAATGTTCTAGCAAATATTTTGGATTGGGTATTTCACATTGCTACGTTCTGTTACCAATGTCACCTCTAAATGGCATTGACATTTAGGGATCAATCTCTTATAGGCTCATGTGGTGACTTCGCCGCCCAACATCTCACTGAAGCAGTGGAAGAGTGTGATTTGGTGATAGGTCTGATTAGAGAGTCTGATAACATTTGCACACAGGCCATTTGGTATCTTTTTTTAGTTAAGTACAAAATTACTACATCAGTATCCACCTGGCTGAATACATCTACATCTGTGATTCAAAATCCTAACTACTGTATTCAGCTCAGGTGACCCAGATCTCAAAAAAGAGATCACCAAATCAAAGGGTGTCCAAATACAGGCATCTAAAATAATGAGAGGGTTGAAAAGATCAAGACTGCTTAGTTTAGCAGAAACAGTACATGATAGAAGGGACATCATAGATATATTATTTACAATATAATTAATGGTATGGAGAAAGTAAATCAAGCACTCATTTGTACTCTTTCTTACAACACAATATCAAGGGACACACACTAAAAATGAATGACAAAACCTTTTTAACCGATAAAAGGAAATATTTTTTTACACAACGTGTGTTTAACCTGGGGTTATACCATTACAAAGTACAATCAAGCTCAATAATTTTGTAGGGTTAAAAGAAGATTGGACATTTATATGGATAATGAGAACATCCACACTTATGTTAGACAGGATTTTAACAAACTTTTTATTTATTTTTATAATGAGAGGTATATACCCTCTTCCTTCAGGGTATAAACAACTAATTGCCTGAAGTTTGGGAGAAATTTCTGCTATGGACTAAAAGAAAAGGAGTACTTGTGGCACCTTAGAGACTAACCAATTTATTTGAGCATGAGCTTTCGTGAGCTACAGCTCACTCACGAAAGCTCATGCTCAAATAAATTGGTTAGTCTCTAAGGTGCCACAAGTACTCCTTTTCTTTTTGCGAATACAGACTAACACGGCTGTTCCTCTGAAACCTGCTATGGACTAGTTATTCTGTTAGAGGGAATCTTGTATATTCTAAAGAATCTGATACTGACCACCATCACAGGCAGGATACTGGACTAGATAGATGACTGGTTACAATCTGCTGTAACAGGTTCCTATGGGGTTTTTGGAGGGGATGGGGGTTATCCCTGAGGGCTTCCCTTCACTGAAATATTAGCTTGAGTGTTACCCCTTACCTATCTCCAGTCCACACATAAATATCTTTAGTTTGAGTTAAGTGATGCTTTAAACTTGAGCAAGCTGTGCCAGGCCCAGATTAACAAATGTGTGCTAAGTGTACTTGCACAGGACTCCTGTCTCCAGGAGGCCCCTAACCACCTCGGGAAAAGACAAGAAAAACAGAGTGGTGGTGTGGCCCCATGCTCCAGTGCAAAGCCACTCACTCAAATTTGGCCCGGTTGCCCCTTTGTCATGACAGAGGGGTAGCCGGTCCAAACCTAAGCAGCACTGCAACCCACACACCAGATCACAATGGCAATCACATTTGTCCCAGCCACCTCACATCATGATTATGGGGTGGCTGGGCCAAACCTGAATGAGTGTCACTGTGACCTGGCACTTGGCTCTCTCCACTTCTGTCATAACCATTAAACAATCAGAAGACTTGTGCCTGACCCGAAAGTCCAAAGCACACACCCCTCCCCCCGTCAGTTGAGAATCTTTGTTTTGGGGGTATGACGTAGACGACACATGGGGGGGTTTCCTAGGGTGGTGATTGTCTTGTGTATCGCATACTTTGCCTAGTTTAAGGAAGGTGCCTTCTCCACAATTTCCATAGTTCACAGGGCCCCAGAATTATTCCATCTAGGCCTGAACTGTCCCCTAAGGGAGCATGGTTTGACACTCGAGTGCAGCTGATGCTTAAGCTAGTAATGCAATGGAGGTGCAGCTTCAGGTTACACTTTGAGATAGCACAACTCGTCAGCTGCTAATCCACTCTATGCTGCTAACTACATCATTCTGTGTATCTTGAGTGTTGTTTTGCAGTTTGGCTGCTCTCACTCAAGCAAGGCTAACTCCAGTTAGCTGTTGCAGTGAAGAGAAGCCATACTCTGATATAAAAGAAATAGAGTGATTGTGTGATGTGGTAACAAAATCAGTTTTCCCAATGAAAAATCCAATTTTAGTTCTAGCATGTATGTGTTCAAAAAACAGATACCATTTACTAGTTCACTCAGGAAAGTGCTTTACTATTGGACATATTAGGATGGAAGTCCTCTGTCTCCTGTTCAATACATCTACATGTACATAAGCCAAATGAACTGGGTTTTTATTTATTCATTTTTAGTCATTAAATATGAACTAACCTGACAAAAGAAAAACCTTCCAGAATATGGTTTACTCATAAACATACACACTGAGACTTCTGATAAACAAGCAACTGAATCACCAGCCATGAAGTCTGATTCTTCATAAACTGATAAGCCAACCACAAAAAGGCGAGGAATCAATAAAATCCTCTGCATCTTGCCCAAGCATGTAGGGACAAAATTAGACACGCCAAGACACAAAATGAAGTTAAACTAATAGGGACAAAAAGGGTACCAAGAAAACATTTTAGAAATACATTAGAACCAAGGACAGACTAGGCCCATTAGTCAATGAGAAGGGAAAGTCAATAACAGAAAACACAGCAATGGCTGAAGTTTTAAAAACACCGTTTTTGTATCAGTTTACACCAAAAAGGTTAGCAGTGGCTGGATAACTAACATAGTGAACATCAGTGTAAATGGGGTACGATCTGAGGCTAAAATAGGGAAAGAACAAGTTAAGAGTTAGATGTCTTCAACTCAGTAGGGCCTGACAAAATACACTGGGACCTGGCTGAAGAGATCTCTGAGCCATTAGCAATTATCTTTGAGAATTTGTGTAAGACGGTAGAGATAGCGGAGGACAGGAGAGGTCCCAGAAGACTGGAAAAGGACAAATATAGCTCCTGCTTATAAAAAGGAAATCAGGACAACCCAGTAATCAATCAGTTTAACTTTGGTACCCAGAAAGACAATGGAACAAATAATCAATGTGTAAGCACATAGAATATAATAAGGTGATAACAGTCAACATGGATTTGTCAAGAACAAATCATGTCAAACCAACCTAATATCCTTCTTCAACAGGGTAACAAGTCTTCTGGATGTGGGGAAGCAGTAGATGTGAAGTATCTTGACTTCAGTAAGGTTCTTGATCCTGTCTCACTTGACCTTCTCATAAGCAAACTGGAGTAAAAGCCTAGACCAGTATTTCTCAAATGCGGCCACAGTGGCCACATGTGGCCACCAGGGACTTTTCTTACAGCCTCAGGCTCCTGGGTGGTGATTGTGAGGTGCGGGGGGGAAGCAGCGGCCTCTCCCCTGGAGCCACCAGTGGGGGTTGGTCCCTGCCCCCTTCTGGAGCCACAAACACTGTAGGAGCAGGTGACCACTGTGAGCTCCCCACCTTCCTAGGGGCAGTGGGGCTTGGATTTCGGGCTTCAGCCCTGGGGTGGTGGGCAGCAGGATCTGGCCATGCGACAGTTGGCTTCATCCCCCAGCCCCAGGGCTTTGGGCCCTGGGCTCATTCCCACCACATCATCCCTGGTCCCTGCTGCATCTTCCATCCCTCAGTTGTGCAGCAGGACCCCAGGATCCAGCCCCAGACTCATCCCCCACATCCCCCGCTACCTCTTCCAGCCCCTCATTGCCCCGGCCCTCCTTACCTACTTTCCCATCCAGGGTTTAATTTGTCTCCCAGCTTGCCAGGGATGAGTAAGTCTGCTGTGAAAAGTGATATTAACAAATATCACTTTTCACCGTAGCAGACTTACTAGCTAGCAAATTTTTTTAAAAAATCAACCAAGAAGAGCAAAACACGCAAAGCACCTTATTTGTGTTTCTATTCTGTTTACATCCAATAAAGATTAAAGACAACTGTACATTCTTTTTATTATTGAATCTGTAAAAAACCCCTACATAAATAAATTGCTATGATTTGGGCATGGATATGTGCATATTTATTTGTTTTTCCTAAAGTTAATTAAGTATTTAAGAAAAAATTGTCAGAGCGGCTACCAAAAATGTGTTGTGAGAACCCCTGGCATCGACAAACCTTCTATATGATGAGTACACAAGTGGCTGGAAAACAGAGAGTAGTTATCAGTGGTTCACAGTCAAATTGGAAGGACATATCAAGTGGGGTCCCACAGTATCTGTCCTGGGTCCAGTTCTCTGAATAGCTTCATGAATGATTTGGATAATGGCTTAGAGCAGTGGTTTTCACCTGTGGTCTGCGGACCCCTGGGGATCTGCAGACTATGTCTAAAAGTCTGCAAAAGGTTGTCATTACCCACAAAACAGTGGTTTTCAACTGTTGGATTCCTGAGGTTTCCAAAGGGGTCCACACCTCCATTCAAAGTTTTTTAGGGATCCGCAAATGAAAAAAGGTTTAAAACCACTGGCTTAGAGAGTATACGTATAAAGTCTGCAGACAATACCAAGCTGGGAGGGGTTGCAATTGCTTTGGAGGACAAGATTAGAATTCAAATTGATCTTGACTCACTGAAGAAATTGTCTGAAATAAATACGGGAGAAATTCAATAAGGACAAATGCAAAGTACTCTTCTTAGGAAGGAATAATCAATTGCACAAATACAAAATGGGAAATGACTGCCTAGGAAGGAGTACTGCAGAAAAGGATCTGCGGGTTACAGTGGATCACAAACTAAATGTGAGTCGACAACGTAATACAGTTGCAGAAAGAACGGACATCATTCTGGGATGTATTAGCACAAGGGTTGTAAGCAAGACATGAGAAGTAATCCTTCCACTCTACTCAGCACTAATAAGGCCTCAATTGGAGTATTCTGTCCAGTTCTGGGAACCACACTTCAGGAAAGATGTGGACAAATTGGAGAAAGTCCAGAGGAGAGCAACAAATATGATTAAAGTTCTAGAAAACATTACTTATGAGGAGAGATTGAAAAAACTGGAGTGGTTTAGTCTAGAGAAGAATAAAGGAGTGGGAGGAATGATGATAGACTCAGATACATGAAAGGTTGTTATAAAAAGGAGCATGATAAATTGTTCTCCTTATCCAATGAGGGTGGGACAAGAAGCAATGGGCTTAAATTGCATCAAGGAAAATTTAGGAAGAACACCCTACCTGTAAGTGCAGTTAAGCACTGGAACAAATTACAGTCTTAGGGAAAGTGTGGAATCTCTGTCTTTGAAGGTCTGGGATGGTCTAGAAAATAATACTTAGTCCTGCCTCAGTGTAGGGAATCGGACTAGATGACCTATTGAGGTCCCTTCTAGTCCTACAGTTCTATGATTCTATGAATGTGTTGGGGTAGAGGAGGTGAACACCATAAAAGTTTGTTGTCATAATTAAGGCTACGTTTTAGTCCATGTCTTTTACTAAAAATACCAGTGAATAAAACTTGGGGGGGGGCTGCCTGGGGACCCCGTGGGTGCTGGGGGAGGACGGCCCGGCTGCTTGAGGGGTGTGGGCGGTGGTGCGTGGCCCGGGACCCCCGCTGGTGCTGGGGGTGGGATTGGCAGGACCGGCAGGCTCCCTACCTGGCTCTGCGCCTTCCCTGCAGCAGCAGCAGAGTTTGGCTGTAGGAGGGGGTAGAGGGGTGGGGCATGGGATGGGGTGAGGCAGGCTCTGGGCAGTGTTTACCTGGGGGGGCTCCCCATAAGCGGCGACATCCCCCATGCTTAGCTGCTAGGCGGAGGCGTGGCCAGGCAGCTTTGCTGCGCGCTGCCTCCACCTGCAGGCACCGCTTCTGCCCCTCCCATTGGCCACGGTTCCTGGCCAATGGGAGCTGCGAAGCTAGCGCTCTGGGTAGAGGTAGCATGCGGAGCTGCCTGGCCATGCCTCTGCCTAGCAGCTGAGCAAGGGGAATGTCACCAGTTCCGCGGACCGCCGCCCAGAGCCCGTCTCACCCAGTCCTGTGTCCCAACCCCCAGCCTCAGCCCCTTCCCACACCCAAACTCTCTGCTGGGCGTGAGGGCGTGGTGGCCCAAGACTTCCTCAGCAGTGGCCAGTGTGCCTGGTGCAGGGGCTGCCTGAGCTGCCCCTGAGCCAGGCGCACTGGCCACTGCAGAAATCACAAAGGTCACGGAAAGTCATGGAATCTGTGACCTCCGTGAGAAACTCATGGCCTTAGTCATAATCCATAGTGGTGTTCCTCAGTTTGCAATACCTTCTTTAAGTTCCCAGGAATCCTATATTTTCTTTCCTGCTTTAGGGAACTTTTTCTTTCACACTCATCTGATTATCTCCTTCACTCCTCTTCAGATCTCTGCAGCTTCCCATTTCCCATCACATCATGTTTAAACTTGTTTTCATTTCAACATCAAAACCCAACATAACTGGCCTGGCCTACATCTCCAAGCTAGTCTTTTTATCACATTGCTGGCTCTGCTTTGCCAGTGACATCAACCTCAATGCTCTATTCATTCACTTCTGCAATTGTCTTTGTGACATTTTCTATGCAATCCTCAATGTGTAAAATGCCTTCCCAGATTTGGTCCATCAAGCTACTACACTCTTTTCATTTAAATCCTTCCTAAAGGTTCATTTTCCATGATGCCCATAAGAAATTATTCAACCAATATTAATAACAAAAAATCCTAGTCATTGCTTCTGCTGGGTTTCATAGAGCATCCTAACTACACTGAGTCTGTCTTGCTTAGACTGCAAGCTCTTTGGGGCAGGGATGGTCTGTATTTTGTTTCTTGTACAGTGCCAAACATATTGTTAGTGCTTCATAAATAATCAATAAAATACAAAGAATAAAATGAAGAATAATGAGAAGTTCTGGAACTACACCACCCCCTCTTACTCCAATGAGTGATGATATGGGCACCCTACCTGAGGCAAGCAGCTTTAATGAGCCAAACTCCATCTTTCCAGCCATTGCCAATGGATGTGAAAAATTACAGGAATAATTGAGCTACAACATCAAATGCATATGTGAAGAAAGATATGGGGGTGTAATTTAGAGACTAGAGCAGAGGACCAGGATAGGCTAACAGTGAGGGCCCTCCACTTTTATATAGAATGACTCACTAACTCACTGTGAGAGTGGGCAAGTCAGGTGACCTTTTTTTGTAGTCTAGACAAACAAGCTGTAAAGCAAGCCACACTAGGTCCTCACAGCTGCTGTAGCTAAGTTTGAGCTTTCCTGTGGAAATTAATAGCTTCCTATACCCACCCACACAAACTGCTGCTTTACTCCTGTTCCAGCTATTAGAAACTGTCAGGGTTCCTTCCCCACTCTGAACTCTAGGGTATAGATGTGGGGACCTGCATGAAAGATCCGCCTAAGCTTATTCTTACCAGCTTAGGTTAAAAACTTCCCCAAAGTACAAACTTTGCCTTGGCCTTGAACAGTATGCTGCCACCACCAAGCGTTTTAAAAAAGAACAGGGAAAGAGACCACTTGGAGACGTCTTCCCACAAAATATCCCCCCAAGCTCTACACCCCCTTTCCTGGGGAAGTTTTGATAATAATCCTCACCAATTTGTACAGGCGAACACAGACCCAAACCCTTGGATCTTAAGAACAATGAAAAATCAGTCAGGTTCTAAAAAGAAGAATTTTAATTAAAGAAAAGGTAAAGGAATCACCTCCGTAAAATCAGGATGGAAAATACAGTACAGGGTATTCAGATTCCAAACACAGAGGATTCCCCTCTGGGCAAAACCTTAAAGTTACAGAAAACAGGAATAAACCTCTCTCTTAACACAGGGAAAATTCACATAAAACAAAAGATAAACTAATCCACCTTGCCTGGCTTACCTATCCTGGTTGCAATATTGGAGACTTGGATTAGGATGGGTTGGAGAAGATGGATTTCTGTCTGACCTCTCTCAGTCCCAAGAGAGAACAAACACGTAAACAAAGAGCACAAACAAAAGCCTTCCTCCCCTGCCAAGATTTGAAAGTATCTTGTTCCCTTATTGGTCCTTTGGGTCAGGTGCCAGTCAGGTTAGCTGAGCTTCTTAACCCTTTACAGGTAACAGGACGTTGCCTCTGGCCAGGAGGGATTTTATAGCACTGTATACAGAAAGGTGGTTACCCTTCCCTTTATATTTATGACAGAAACACAAGACCAGAAACTTCTCATTAAGAGTTTTAAACTGAGCAGGTCAGCTGATAGATTCTGACGAACAAAGTCTTAATCATCGGGAGAGGGCTGCTCTCACTCAGTTTTAAAGTCTTCTCCCTCTTGTGATGACATATGTTGCTGTGTATTTCCATGAGACATTTAGAATCTTGCTCGGATTTTTGCTTTGAATCTTCCTCTTTCGGATTGTTATCACAGCTTGAATGATGCACCTCCCTAAAGATACCAACAAATTACGCGGACTTTCAGCCATAGACTGAGCAGCAGAAACTGCATTTGCTTCAAAAATTGGATTGTAATTAAATGGCCAAAAGTCAGCTCTGTCCAACCTGCCCTGGTATATTTTTTATCAACACTTGTGAGCTAAGGTTTAAGGGAACACAAGAGAGAGAAATACAGTGGCACTAACAGATATCTAGTCTGGTTCACATAATACAGCTCCTTCTGCAATGATCCTTGCAACAGAAGGAAGAGGCTCCCTGTCCCTCAAAGAGGCCCTTTATTCCCCCTCTCACAGCCATTTCCTTTGGGTGCAGGTCTCAGTTGTATACGTTCTTGGGCCCTCAGCTTTTGAAGAAGTGGTTTCATGGTGTAAAGGTTTGTGGTCACTGACGCACACCCTTAAGAGAGCCACCTGCTGCGCTCAGTTTCACTCAGTTGGGCCTGGGGACTGCAGGCTCCAGTCAGGCAGGAGAGTCTCCGGCACCAGCAACCATGAGACCACACCAACCCAGCACCTGCTCCAGCGGCAGCCCTCTTCAGCTGCTTGGTAAGGGCACACACAGCACAAAGCCTCCTCCAGTCCTCCCTTACTATTATCTGATTCCTTTCTCCTTTTTTTCTCTCACTGCTGC